AACCCCAGTGCAACTCAGGTTCTCCATTTCAGGCATACATTTTTGCTGTTTGCTCAGCTACCCTAAGGCAACCTTATGCCTTATCCCCCAGGTCTGGTGCACACAGAGCAGGAACAGGCTGGCAGGGCATGCTTCACAGCAGTGCTTCTGGGCACAGTATTAAAGCAGCTTACATGTCCCAAATAAAATGTCCCAGAAGTTTAAGGAACAGGCCTAGTTATAGAAAAGGACTCGAGAAACCATAACTCCTGGAAGATTGCAGGCCAGTCTATTCTCCCACACTGAGCAAAGAGGTAAAACAAAACTGCCACCTTCATTTCAAGTTCTTGTAAAAACCAGGAGGAAAATAAATCCAGTTTAAAATGGTGGGAAAAAAGAAAGACCTTTCAGCTAAGAAAAGGCATGCCTTCAAGCTTTAAGAAAGACATTTACACACAAGCCTGTTCTGGGACTAGACTATGTCTATATGCACTATGTAAGCAAGAACTACAGGTAGGATTTCCCAAAGTGCTCATCATCAACACAGCTCTACTCCCACTAAATTCAGAAGTAAATTCTTAATTGACAACACTAGGAAGATGTTAAATTAACTCTTTGCTAATCCCACTCTGTCTGTTTGCAGTGACTTTTTTTCTACAACATTTTATGGCCTATTCCAAAGCCCAATACCAATAATTTTTAGATCACAACATAATTTAAATATTACTAGCATGGAGCTAAACTGAAGTAAAACTTCACTGTTGTGTGTTTAAAAAATTAAAAGTATAGTGATAAGTAATGTTAATTAAAAAAAAGAAGAGCCTTCTATGTATCCATAAGAATAAACCTGGCATAAAAAGGAGAGCTTATATGGAAATAAGCAAGCACTTTACATTCCAATTTTAGTTGGCTCATTTGACTGTGACTCCAGAATCAATTGACTTAAAAAAAAAAAAAAAAGGGTTACAGGGCTTGTTGGTAATTCTCCAGCAAAATAAAGATCCTGTCTAAAACGATCAGGAATGTAACACAACTATTCCCACCCTCTTGTGTTCCCCTCCTTCAGCTTTCTGCCAGGTGCCCCCTCTCCCCATTGAAGTACATTTGAGATTTTATGTCTTGTTTACTACATTCCAAAAGAAACTTGAGTGCTTACAAAGGTGTTTTCAGAAGCTCTTTCTAGGCACAGAGTGCCCCCCACCACACATTTAGTTTGAACAGATGTAGCATTCCTAAGAAGTCCTCAATGGTTAGTCTTTGAAGTCTGGAAGAAGTGTCAGATTTGAAAGCTACATTTCCTACCTAAAAAAAAAAAAAGAAATCTCCAGGGAGCCTTGATAGAAATAAAATGCACTCTCTCCAGATCCTTCTCTCACACTATTATGAGATTTTTTTTTTTTTAAATTAGAATGGGGACTAAAACTCCAAAGAATTTTCACGGATGATTATACATGCACATGTAGATAATTCTCTCAGCCGGACTTGTTAACCTTATAGCCAGGGACTGGGATTCTTCTCATAGCAGACCTAAGCTGTTCAAATGCAGACCTGAGAGAAATGAGACAGACCTTGTCAGGAAGAAACACAATGCAAGAGCCAGTGCAGAAGCAATTGTGATCAGAAAGATTTTAGGAAAGGAGACAGAGAAGGAGCAGGGTAGATCCAAGTTGTTCATTAGGAGTGAATTTCCATCCTGACCAGAGGTACAGTGCATGGCCTATGTACATTCATGGCCCATGCAGGCCTACAGATGCACTTAAATGACACGCAGATTTTGTGCTAAGCCTCTCTGCATGGGTGAAGTGCAACCTATTACAGCAAGTTGGAACATGGCTTCCAGTTTCACACTGCTCTCTCAGACTGCCAGGCCTCCGAGGGCATACTCACACTCAGCCCAGAGATGCAAATAGTAAAAAAAAAAAAAAAATCATTTTTTTTTTTTTTAATAAGAAAGATGTGTACATTTTCAGAATGTGTCCACTGCCCCCTCTGCTTGGGGTGACTAGTGCTCCAATGCCCAAAGGGCCCATCAGCCCTCCTTTCAAATCCTTCCTTTGATTTAAGCTGTCTTTCTGTTCAGTTCCCCACCCCTTCCCTCCTAAGACAATGCCCAGGACTTCCTTTGCATTGTCCCAAGCATTTACTTGGTCCTTAAATACAACAATACTGCTGTCATCCCCAGCCTTCATGATTTGCCATTTTGGAGCCAGCTGCCGAGAAGTTCCAATTTCCCTTAAATAAGCTCATTACTCCCATATACACAGTAACAGGCTGTATCGAATGCACGCAAATTCAAGGACATGCCCCCTCATTAATTTCATAGAGTAAGATAATCCTGTGAAGTTTGTCCTTGGTGGGACACAGTTACTTTGGTTTATCTTCAGCGAAGAGGCTTCCCAGTTTTCCCCACACAGCGAAAATGACTCAAAACAGAGGCACTGAACAGGTTAAAGTTTTCTCTGTCGCGTCTCATCTCCCTTTCCAGATTAGGGGAACAATGAAGTCTCCATACTCTGTGATATTGCTAATGCTTCCTGTGGGGATAGCGGCGCCTGCTGAAAAGAGGATTATGATTATGGTTTAGGAGAAGCACGCACTGTACTGCCGCGAGAGGCAGAGAGTTATCAGGAAAGAAACCGAGCTGCCCCCAAACTGTACACACGGGACTACTGCTTGCCTTGGGTTCTGGCTGACAGCTCTACTTCAAATCACACACCCGCTTATCAGACACGATAATGGAACAGCTGAGCCATGAAAAAAAGAGATACACACAACTTGTATATAACATGTAGTGTTATAGACCATCCCACCACATTCATCTAAATAAAGCAGTAAAGGACAGAACACAGCACAGTACAACCCCAGATGTGGCCACTGACTTCATAGTTATGTCTGCTACTTGGGAAAGACTGCAAAACACTTTTCCCCTGTTGTTAAAACCAGTGCATCCCTACCACTGACAATTATGTGAGGTGTGTTAGACACTGTATCCATTAGACCTGAGCAGAATGCACAGCTACCCCCTTCTCCCCTTTCTGACCACATGGCAGGAACAGCAGCCAGGAACTTTTTTAAGTCACAAAAAAGGTAAGAATTCCTCCCCATCCCTTCCCTTTCTTGCTCAGAGGCACTTCCCCTTCACATTCCCATCTCCCCTGCCTGCCACTGCTCAAAGGTGTCCACTGTCCATGCTATCCTGGGGATAAGGGGAACTCCATCCCTGTTCCAGTTTAGCTGCAAAGGAGTTGGGCTTAGCCCAGGACAACAGCAGTGATAGTGGCTGTGGCAGCCAGGCAGGTTTCTCTCTCCTTGCCTGGTCCTCTGGGGTGTTCTCCGCCAGCCTGGGAGCAGGTGTGAGGAGGGGGAACCTGCCCACCAGCTGCCAATGAAGCTGCCCCAGGCCAAGCCCTGTACAGCACATCTGGAGTACAAGAGGAGCCCCTCATCCCCTGAGATTGCACGGACAGTGGCAGACAAGGGAGGAAGAGTGGTAGGGGAGGGGAGTGGACATGGCTCCGAACAGGGAGGAAAAGGTGGGTGGTAGAATTCTTACCTTCCTTTGGACTTAAAAAGTGTCCCTGACTGCTGCTTTTGTGGCATGATCTGCCCACTCTTGTTGAGGGGTGTGGAGGAGGAGGCCTGAAGCGGGAGGTGCATCGCTGCCCCCGCACTCCCTGTGTAAAATCTTGGACTTGCTTCTGATCACATTACCTAAAATGCTAGCGGTCCATCTCCATTAGAGCTTTCAACATTACACGGAGTCGAATCAGCTGCAGTTGTGGTGAAAAAATTGTTCATTAACAGTCTCTAACATAGAGAGGGGCAATAATACAGACAAGAAGAGTAAAATAGGAGATAATGGGCATATCTACACATGCACTTTACTGCCGAGTTGACTAATCAACTTGCTTGCTCCGCAGCAAAGTGTCACAGTCTACACATGCACCAGTATTAGGGCGCAGTAAACTAATTAACTCTGCTGTAAGATAGTAGTGTCAGGGACAGTTCTATCTTACAGCAGAGTCATTATGTGCGATCAAATGCACATATAGATGGGGTTTGCAGGTGTAACTTGCACCCAGTCCCCACAGCCAGACAAGGATCACAGACTCTTACCTGATCCTTGTGCCCCAGCCAGCCCCTCCACCACCCGATGCAGCTACCTCCTCCTCCTCCCCCCTGGACACACACGCACTTCCCCTTCTTCCCCGGCTCAAAGCACTGCCGTTTTCGATCCATAGGTAGACACTGCTCCCGGGAGCAGTTAACTCCAGTTCAAACTGCTTTAGAGTTTATTGCATCACTTTCATTGCATGCATAGATGCACCCAATAGATTTCAAGCATACACATCTATCACAAAACTTTTATAGGCAAGACAGATTTCGAGCATGTAAGATTCTACAGACACCCCACCCTAATTCCAGTATGTGCCTTCAATGATGGATTGGCCTGAGTGAATATGGCTGGATTCACCCTCCTAGTCTAATAATAACATTGAGGGTGGAAAGTTTCCACCAGAGGTACTTTCACAATTTACAGAGTAAAGACTCATGGGCCCCTTTCACAGTTATTTATACAATGGTTTCAATCTTAAGCCTCACCCTTCAGATTCTGCTCAAAGGAGTTTTACTGATCCCTTCTAGGTCCATAAAAAGCCAAATAATCATTGCAACACTGTTAATGTGCGATCCCCTTGGATTTTTGAATGTGTAGAAATCAATGGACTCCAACAAGAACCCTACAAATCCATCAGCACCTGCTTCAGCACTAAGTCACAGAGTCATCACTTGATTTTTGTCCACTTTGCCCATTCCAGCCAGCCCAATAGTCACACCAAAATAATAGTAACAGTAATAGTATTCCAAATGGCCAAGATAACAAAGCAAATCAACAGGTAACACACTCAAGGGGGACCATGAGATGCTGCAAACCCATAATAAGCCAGGCTGCCTGGCTCCTTGAGGGGACTAAGGGCTCTTATCCAAACAACGCTGAATAGTCTTAATTAACCAAAACAAACCTCTTTGCCCAGGCAGTGGTGTGGTTCACACAGATATCTCCTATCCTTCACGGCTGGGGCTGGGCACCAAGCTCTTCCAGGTTCCCTCTCTATCCGGTTCTCCTTGCTGTTAATCTCTGTGGAGGAGGAGAAAATAAATAAAAGGAGTTGAAAGATAATGGATTAAACTGGCTTCCGGCTTTTCTACAGGCTACTAAAATAGGATCTTTCCCAACAAACTTTCCAGGCACAGGATACAGGGAAAGATCTGAATCCCATTTGTTCGAACACTTCTGACACTTTTCCATTCCCCAAGAACAAAGAAGGGGAGAAAAATGTTAGAAATAATGGATGAAATAAAGCTGCCGTCTTTCAAATCTTAATCAAGTCATCACACGGACTCTGAGCCTTGGGAAGGCAAGATTTCAATCTGTTTCTCTGCTTCACATCCAGAGAGAGCTAGCGAAGTAAACCTACAGTTATGCAAGGGAACTTCAAACCTCAGAGGAGACCGCCTGCTTTATGGTAATAGGGGCCTCAGAGACAGTGACAGTAAATGCTTTGAAGCGTATCTGTTTTAAGAGGATTATGATGATAATTTGATAACAGGTTTTTTGCATACGAATGCAATGAGAGAGAAAGCATCTTTAGTGAAGAGGACAAACAAAGCAGAGGCAAAAAAACAACCTACGAAGTGATTCAAAATATTTGGGGCGCTTTTAAAACAAAAGAAAAGGAAAGCCGGAGGTTATCAGTTTTGGCAAAAGTGCTCTCCACACTCCACCAGGGTGACAGCTCTCCAAATAAGCCCTCTTGCTTGACATAACATGGGAACTGGCAAGGCAAGCTCTCCCCACACCAACCCCTGACAACTGTTCTTCATCTCCTTCCAGTCTCTGAAGCTCGTATAGAATTCAGAGACAGTTGGGCTGAAGGGACCTTGGAAAATCGAGTCCAGCCCCCTGCCCGAAGGGCAGGAAGTCAGCTGGGGTCATAAGATCCCAGCAAGATAAGCATCCAATTTACTCTTGAAGGTGTTCAGTGTAGGTGCTTGAACCACCTCCGATGGCAGGCTATGAAAGACCTTGGGGGCTCGGACAGTAAAGAAATTCTTCCTTATGTCCGGCCTGAAACGGTCTTGCAGTAGTTTATAACCGTTCGACCTTGTCATCCCTTGGGGCGCTCTGGTGAACAAACGTTCCCCCAGATACTGGTGGTCACCCCTGATAAACTTATAGGTGACCATCAGATCACCCCTGAGCCTGCGCTTTTTCAAGCTAAAGAGCCCCATAGCTCTCAACCTGTTGTCACAAGTTCTGTTTTCCTGACCTCTGATTATGCGCGTGGCTCTTCTCTGGACTGTTTCAAGCTTTTCCACATCCTTTTTGAATTGTGGGGCCCAAAACTGGACGCAAAACTCCAGCTGTGGCCTCACCAAGGGGAGAATGACATCCCGGGATTTACTTGAGAAGCATCTACGGATGCAAGCAAGCATTTTGGTTGCTTTACTAGCTGCAGCACTGCACTGCAGGCTCATGTTCATCTTGTGGTCAATGATGACCCCCAGGTCTCTTTCTTCCGTAGTACTAGCCAATGTAGCACTGCCGAGTTGATAAGGATGGTGCACGTTTTTCCTCCCAAGGTGGAGAACA